GCTGACAAACCCATCAAGCTAACTCCAGTTCCACTCTGCGGAGAACTTGTGAATGCACTCACCTCCCCACTCGAAAGCCAGCTGTTTGTGTTGTGTGATAGGTTCATGTTACTGCACTATTTATGAATTCAGTCTCCTGGCAGTATACAAGCCAGATGCTTTTCCATGTGGTGGCAGCTGACACCCAATGATTTGGCATGAAGAAAAGAGTCCAGTGGTTTTTCCCATGCTGAGGCCTGGGCTACAGGGATGTTCACTGCCCTCGTGCCCAGCTGTGCTGGTACACCTGAAGAAGCCATGACTTCAGCACGTGACTTACAGCAGAGCTGTATGCTCAAACATAAGCTTCTGTGAGCCATCTCCAGCTGGGCGTCCAGAGATGAAAACATCCTCAAATTAGTGGGCACTGCTGAAAAAGTTAGCCAAGTGTCTAAACACTTGCACAATCTGCACTTACTCTCAGTACCTCTTGATTTTTCAGATGGCATCACCCACTGATTGCAAGCGTTTCCCAACGGATACAGTCATATTGAAACCCTAAATATTGCAGTGACTTAGCTTCTTCCACTTCACTTTACTCAATGTAATTAATCCCCACAGCGCCTCAGAGGAAGAAGGACAGCGGCATCGACCAACCCAACCCGTGTGCAGGCATGAGGCACAAAAAGCCAAGGGAACTGCGTGAGGTCCTGCAGAGCGCAGGCCAAGTCCATCTGCTGTGTCACGTTTCTAAAGAGATAGTCATGCCATCAAACCCCAGCGATGAGGAAGCAGGAAAAAAGCCTTCCTCAATTCCCCCCACCACCACCCCCCGCCCAGGACCCCGAACTCGTCAACATGATCATTACAGCATGTTTGACGGCACAAGTCACTCCTGCTGTGGTCCAGGCGAGGGATTCCTGGCATGGCACGGGCAGGGCTTGGTGGCCTCGGCCGGTGCTCCCCGCAGGCACGGCCGCGTTGCATAACTACGGACACTGCATGTCAGTCGGAGCTCCCCACCGGCATCCACCGGCTTATGCAATTACCGCGCCCCGCTGCGAGGCCGCAGGGACGGCGGGTTTGGGCTCCCCTCGCCCTCCGGCGGGAGCGCTGCCCACCGACCCCGCTCGGGGTACTGGCCCCCTGAGGGTCCTCGCCATGGGGCAAGGAGGGGAGCGGGGTGGGGGGTTCATTTCGGAGCGACCGAGCCACCCCTGGAAAAGGGGAGTCATCCAGGACACCTCGCCTTCGCCGGGGCGTCCAAGTTCAGACATAAAGGTGCTCCCTGACACGAGGGGCGTGGGGCTCCCGTGGCCGCTCTCCGGGCATCCATCACCTGCAAGTGTCAGGTGAGGGTCCCGGACCCCGCCAGGCCGGCCCACCACAGCAGCGGACCCGGGATCCCCCCGCTGCCCGAGGGCCGGGCCCCGCCGCGGGGCTGCGGAGCGGAGGAAGCGGCAGCGGCCCCCGCCCCGCCCTGCCCGGCTCCCCCTCGGGCCAAGGGCTGGGCTCCCCGCCGGGCGAGGCAGAGCCAGCTTGCCACCTCCCCTCCTCCTCCTCCTCTTCTTCTTCTTCCTCCTCCTCCTCCTCCTCCTCCTCGCCTTCCTACTTCTGCACCGGCTCGGCTCGGGCTCCGCCGCTGCCCCTCCGCCGCCGAGGCTGCCACAGACCCCCCTCCCTCCCTCCATCCCTCCCTCCCTCTCCCCCGCCCTCCGCCCTGTCCCCAGCGCCGCCGCCGCCGCTTCCACAAGATGGCGGGGACCGTGGCCGAGCGGGACGCGCTGGTGAGTGCGGCTTCACCCCCCGCCCGGGCACCGGGACCGGCACCGGGACGGGGCCGGGGGGGCCGGGCAGGGCACCTGCGGAGCGGGGCGGGGGCGGGGGGGCTGCGCCTGGCCCTGCCTCAGCGCTCTCCTTTCTACCTGCAGAAAATAGAGGACGGGCATTTAAACAACTCCCTGGGATCCCCGGTGCAAGCTGATGTGTACTTCCCTCGCTTGGTAAATCACCTTTATTTGGTTTCTTTCTTTCGGGGGGGGGGGGGGGCGGTATTTTATTTTTTTTAACCCCTTTACTCCCCCTCTCTCCTCCGCCCCGGCTGCAAAACGGCGGCCGCTGCTGATGCCGAGCTGACCCTCGCCACCTTCCCCCTGTCCTTTCCAGATCGTCCCCTTCTGTGGGCACATCAAAGGAGGAATGAGGCCGGGAAAGAAGATCTTAGTTATGGGCATAGTGGACCTCAACCCTGAGAGGTAACACCTGGGCCCGGCCAGGGGGAGATGGGGGAGCGGCCACACGCACGTACACATACACACGGATCCCTGCTTTCTGGAAAGGATTATTTTTATCATTTTATATATAGCATGCTGATTTCTCCTTTGACCCATAGAGGGGGCATTTCTTCAAGGGATCCCGTTTTCACTTGGGAGTAAAGGAGCATATAGAGCATATGTATATGCATATATGTACACATATATGTACAACACCATGCACACACAGACATATATATATATATGCCATAACCATGTTCCTTACACTGCTGAGCTTTCAGGGTTTCTCTGAACGAGCTGAGCTGTCATCTCCCCTGTGCCGCTATACCAATGGCTTTAATAAGCTGAGAAATGGACCTGGGTGGCATTTGGGGCTTATTTGGTTTTTTCCTGGCTGAACGAGAACCGTTCTGTTTGTGTTGCAGCTTTGGCATCAGTCTGACTTGCGGGGAGTCAGAAGATCCTCCTGCGGATGTAGCCATAGAACTGAAAGCTGTGTTTACAGACAGACAGTTTGTCAGAAACTCTTGTGTAGCCGGAGAATGGGGGGAAGAGCAGTCGTCTATTCCTTACTTTCCATTTATACCGGACCAGCCTTTTAGGGTGAGTACCAGGATGACAGCGGCTTACAACGTGTCTGATAAAGTGTCATTTGATCTGAGTTGCAGCAGGACCTGACTTGGCTTTCGTGAAATCACAGTGTAGCCCACACTGCTCCTGTTGAGACACCAGTTGCTGGTTTGTTTGTATCCATCAAAAGTTGTGCAGGGATCCTGCTGCTACGTGCAGCTGCAGGCAGTCCGGATGGGGCTGTGAACACCTCACCTGGGCGCTATGACAAGTCGGAGGTTGTAATACTGTGTGATGAAGTCCAACTTCCTGAGCTTAGTTTTATAGCTATATATTAAAAAGTACCTCTATGTTATTAGTGCATTACAAGTTATTACTGGAGAATGTAAATACTCTGTGGGACTGCTGTATGTTTTGATGGTTTTTTTAATGGACATAATGTTTGCAGTTTAGTGTGGCTAATAAGGATCACGTTCATCCTTTGTCTCCAGGGATGTTCTGTAGAGGTTGACCGTAGCTCTTCGTGTTAGCAGATTAAACAGCTAAGCAATAGTGGTATTCTTTCCTGAACCCTGGGATTAAACGTCCCATCAAATTTAAGTCTGTAGTCACTTGAAAATGGTGTTCTGGGAAATGTTGTGGCACTGTGGATGGACTGGGTTGACCTAGAAGCAGATTCCCATCTGTAGTGTTTATGGTTACGTGAAGATGTCTTTGCAAATCAGGACTAACAAAGTATGTGGCTGCAGAGGGCTGCTTCACTACATAGAGGAAAAAAGGCTGCATGCCTTTTCCATGCAGCTGACCCAGAAAAACCTTCCTCCTCCTCCTCCCCGCCCCTCTTGCAAAACCTCACTAGCCCCTCTGCTAAATGCCAGCGCTCTGACCAGCTGCCAAACTCTCTTAATCCTTCTTGCCTCCAAGATAATCTCCCCCAGCCCCAAAAGCTCACCATCTCCCCAGATGCTTGGGCTTTAAGAGTGTTTGTGACTGGTTTTGCTGCAAATTGGTTGCGCTCTACTTGCTTCTACAAACTCTCCCATCAGAACTGGCAACACCCTTTGGTGGTGTGGGAAATGCACTTGAAAAGACTTGGAGGCTGGGTCCTGCTCCAGCTGAGAGGGTTCCACTGCCTGCTGCACTGGGTGGTGACTGGGCCCTCAGACGAGCCAGACAAATTACGCAGAGCATGTTTTGTGGGTGTCCCACTAATGGCAGTTGATGTTGGAGGACAGCAGTACTGCACGTTTACTGTGAGATACTGGAGATAGGGAGTTGTTCTTTCCCCCCTTTTCTTTTTTTCTTTTATCCTTTTTTCCCAAATGGAATTTAGGCTCCCAATTGACTTTGTACCTTTGATGGTCTCCCTCTCAGTGAATAAATTAGACTATTAAGTGTTCTTGCCAATTACTTGTGGCCCAGTCCAATTATCATTCCGGCGTGGCCCCGGGTGATCTGGAGAAGCGGACTGTGAGCAGGGTTGAGGGTAACCATATCTTTTACATAACAAGGCCTCAGGCTGGCTGCGCCTGCCGCAGTGACACAGGAGCTACGTGGCAGCACGGGCCCTTCCCTGGTGCTTGGTGCACTACCAGGTGTCCAGGAGTTTAAGCTCTCCTGGACTGTCAGCTGCCACTTCTCCCAGTGTGACGTGCTCCACATCAGTTGGGCTTTGGCTCAGGCAGTTTGTCACCCCCGTCGCGTTTTTATGTACTGTAATAGCAGCAGAGTCAAGTGCCTGGAAGCAGCACTTCACTCTGGACAACCTCTTGAAATGACCCAGGATTCGCATGTGGCTCCCCTGCAGATTTTCTCCTTAGCCTGTCCAGACCTGGAGGTCTCCAAAGGCCTGCAGGAGAAGCACATGTTCTGTGCCCTCGTGTTCCTGCTTCCTGCTGGGGCAGCTCCAGCAGAGCTTAACAACGGGACACCCTCTCAAGCCACCCCTAACGTCAGGAATCTCCCAACTTGTCCAAGCTTGTTCAGCTCCAGGCTTTATTGCTTTTCCAGAGCATTTCTGCAGGTCTCTCAGGAGGAGGGATGAGCTGTGTCCTTCCCTGATCTGGTTTGTGCCTCGTGCAAATTGCCCAGCTGAATTCAAGCAATCCTGCACTCTCCATCACCTTCACTGCAGCCCCAGGATGGAGTCTAGTCCAACAGGGACTGTCTGCAACCACAGGTTATGCAGGAGCTCTGTATATGTGGGAGGGAAAGACAAACCTATCTCCCTGCTCCATATTCGCTCCCTTCCAGTGAATTAACAGTAGTGTGGAAAGCATTGCAGAGGGAACTGCCGCCTTATTCTGCAGAAAAAAAAAAAAAAAAGAAAAAAAAAAGTAGCAAGGGATGCAAGGTTTGGGTTGGAGATACAATTTCTTCCTCCTGTGATTAGCGGTTTGAGTCTGTTTCTGGCATTATTCCAAGAGGCGAAACCTCCCAGTAGCCAGTGGGACTGGGTTCCGGTGTGCTTACTGCTACGACAGCGTGAGATTGGATTAATGTCCCCGGGCAGTAAGAGCAGATCCATCACAGTGTAACTGGTGTCAAGGGGGAAAACTGGTCTCAGCCCTGGCTGTTGCGTGGCACATGAGTAGCACAGTGTGTAACTGCACTAACACTACTTAAAGTGCTCTTTGTGTGCTGTGAAATAACTTTCCAGTTACACTGCGAACAACGTGCTTTAACAATTTATCTTTTACAGGTTGAGATACTTTGCGAGCATCCCCGTTTTAGAATATTTGTGGATGGACATCAGCTCTTTGATTTTTACCACCGTATTGAAACACTGTCAGCAATTGACACAATAAAGATAAATGGAGATCTTCAGCTTACAAAACTGGGCTGAGCTTGTTAGGACTGCAGATTCCAAACCAGCTCAGGTGCCATCGTCCGTTTGGAGCAGTGACAGCCAGCTCTGGACACAGCTATGGTAGGAAGGCTGCCCTGGTCCTTTTCCGCATGCAGTTCTTCACTCCTGTGCCGATGAATTGGGCTGTTTTTTATCCTAATGAAGAGCACTGTTGGTTAATAGACATTGAGCCGTTTTTCTTGGATCAAAATAGCCCACCTGTGCTGGATAATCAAATTGGAATGGATTCAGAAAGACTTGCAGTCTTGGTTTCAAATCTCACAGCAATGCAGTTTCTGAAATGCAGCGCTAAAACCGGTTACTGAACAGTAGTGACAACAAAAACGAGTTTTTCTTTTGCAAATATTGTTTCTGCACTGAAGTGGAGTAGTGTAGCACAACATAGGGCCACGTGCTGACGTCCTTACCCGGGGCCTGAGCCTGGTTCCATGGAAATCAATGGCAAAACTCCCACTCACTTTAACGGGGTACAATCAAACTGTCTAGTCCTTAGTCAAGCACAATTCCCACTGATTTCTATGGCATTTTTGCACACACCTTGGGGCCTGCTGTTCTGCTGGTGTAAATCAGCGTTACCTCCACAGCTTGCAGTGGAATTCTGCTGATTGCTCCCAGCTGCTGGTTTGGCCCAAGGGCTGTGCAAAAACTGACTGAGGGTGTGTGGACACAGCCTGTGTATTTTAGTCAGGGTATTTGCATAGAATGTAGGTCGTTATGAGTTTTTGCACAACGTATTGTTAATACAATTTTTAAAGCTTCTCTGTAGTTTATTTATTTATACTCATTGTATGTATTATTAGTAAAAAATGAACAATCTTACTGGCGGTTAAGAACGGCAACGTGTAAACATTTTGAATGTACAAAATGTCTGAGGTTCTTTGGGTAAACTTTACATATCGTTCTTGAAAAAAACCATGTTTCCTATTGAACACTTAGTTATGTTTTAGTGGAGCCCTCTAGGCCCTGGGAAAACGTGGGCATGGTAGCTGGTGGGGGGAACTCCGCGTATTCACGAGGATCTGTTTTTCAGGGCTTACTAACTTTGCTGCACAGGATGGGTTTGAGTTGAAGTCGATCCATTTTAAAAACTTAAAAACCAAATTCGTAGGTTTAACTGTGCTTTTATAACCTGAGAAAAAGTTAAATTTGGCAATCTCTTAGTTCAGAAAGAGAACCAGGCTCTTTCCAAGGGAGATGGGAGATTCTTTACACTTGTTTGAGAACACATTCGGCCTTTGATATGACAATTAAAACTTGTCTAGACAGCCAAGTTATTAATGCTTGAAAATCAGCTACTGCACATGAATAATAACTTTTCAAGTAGCTTTTAAAATAGTAGGTATAGGTGTATAAACACAGTCATTGCGCTACACTATAAATGAACACAGCCACTTTCTTGACTTCTTTAGGACTAAATACACTTTTTTCCTTGGCTGCTCACAATGGACTGTAGTGGGTCTTTCTGAGTAGTTATAATCGTGATATAAACATACATTTAGGCAATTTTGAAAACACATAATATAGGGACTAAAACACAGACTATAAAAAACATCCTTGGTAGCACAGTATTAAAAAAAAAAAAAGAGAGGAGAATCTCACAAGCAGAACTGTGTTTAACCTGCAATAAAACTGTGGTTTAAAGCCACCAGAACTGGAATATCCAAAGTTAAGGGTAGAATGCCAATGCAAAGCCTCATTTTGTGCTAATTTGGCCTGCAGTTAAGAAGCCTTAGACTGCAAGCTGAAATTCCAACTGTGGCTCTAGTCCAAAGCCTGTTGAGGTCAATCAGAGTCCTCTGAGCATAGAAGCCTGATTCTTATTTCATGCAAGTGCAAATCTCTTTGTAAAGCTGAGGGGTTGTTGCTGCTGCTCCAGACGAATTAAGAATCAGGCTGCCACCTATAAAATACAAGTTAAAAATGCAATTTTTAGCCTTAGCATTTGACACTCCCTGACTTTTCTTCCTACTTCCAAATTAAGAGAGAAATTGTTGTTTTCCGGGTTACTTTTTTATCTGGTGTGTGGCTTTTAAGCTTTACATCAGATTCTATTTGTACTCCAGATTGAATTGAAATGTTCCTGTCTTGCTCTGTTTTTACTCTTTTACATGATACATGATGACTGTGTCATTTTCCATTGTATAAAAAACGCTGACAGTGTTTCGGTACAAAATATATTCTTAAAAATTATGATAATAAAAATCCAAGGGAAAGGTGCTTCTACAGGAGGTGTTTTGGATTTTTCTCCAGCTTGGAAATGATCTATGGTTCCAAAGCTGATGCAGGCAGAAGATGTTTGGAGAGAAATTTAGCACCCTCTGTGCCTAGTGCTTTCTCCCAACTGGATGTCTAAAGCCAGGTTTGCTGATGCAGGGCCAGTGCCTGAGGCCAGAAGTAGGAGGCAGGAGAGAGTAAGTAGCATGTCTACCCTGGAGTAGCTCAAACCCAAAGGGAATCTCCCTGACAGCACACCAATAGAGATTTCCCCTTCCATGCCTTTGCTGGATCCCAGGAAAAGCAATTTGGCTGCCTTGCATTTTCACAGCCCTCACACTTCTGCTCCTCCGCGCAGTCTCGGCACAGCGCAGTGCCTACCCCAGGGATGGTGAGGTGAACTCAGTGCACCACCTGTCAGTGCCATCTCTGGTGGGAGCAAAGGGCCTGCTGATCCCGCCTTGCTTCTCTTCCCAGCTGCTGTGCTGGGCATTCCCATTTGTTCCTGCTCCAGGAGTTTTCTGTCTGGAGAAAACGCCTTTTTTTTTACCCTGTTTCTGGTTTTGCCTTTGTGTAACTTCACCAACCACGGCGCCCACCACCTGATCCTGCCCCGTTGTGGTTTCTGAGCCAGGCTTCAAGGCAAGAAGGGCTGTGAACCCTCTGCTGACGGGTTGTGGTTTGGCTGAGAGCTCACGAAAGGGCAGAAAGTCACAGTTAAGGCTTCCACATCTATCTATCTATCTGTCACCTGCTTGGAAGCCTTTTTATTTTTCTTTTGCTCTTGGGCGCTATCAGGCAATGGCAGGTGAAAGAAGGAAGACATCTATGTCACCAAGGGCTGTTTCCACAGGTGCTTGGCTTACACTGCCCCATCATGTTAAGAAGCAACTGCAGAACACTTGCATGTGCAGTGTAAGTCAGAGAAAACGGAGGCCTTAACTGTTTCTGCTCAGCTGGACCTTGAACCAATTTCAAATGTTTAAGGTGGGAGACTGTGCTGCAAAATTTATATCTGAATTTTTAGGTCTCCACAGCTTAGGGATTATTTATATCTTCATTTTGAATTTTGAAGTCCTAATAGACCTGAAATAAAGACTATTTCCAAATTGCACCAGGTTTTTCAGTAGAGACAAGTAGTCTGTGAGCTTCTTGGAAGCTGCAAATCTTCAGGACTTAAGGAGTGTGTAAAGCAACTTTTGAAACCTTATGCTAAAATTTATTAGCTGAATATTTCTGCGGTTTCCTCTGAATGAGGAAGTTGATTCTGAAATTAAAAAAGCCTTGAATGGGTAAAATCCATGTGCAGTGGAATCACTGAACTTAGCATAGCTTTATTTTTTCCAAAGAGGAAAAACTAAAAAAACAAACAAACAAAAAACAACAAATACCAAAAAAACCACAAAAAACCAACCAAACCAAAAAAACCCCACAACCAAATTATTTAATTTTGCTTGGGACTGGCTATGATAAAGCTGATTTGATTTTAGAAAAACCAAAAGTAGGTTATTGCCTACTCAGAGCCTTGAAATATTTCAGTGTCATGTGAGGTAGTCTGTGTCTAAACATATTTCACATAAATGCTTTTTCACGGGCAAGTTGTTAAAAATGTTACAAAATACCTTCTTTTTGTGTCACAATTAGAAATGTTTGCCCCACCTTGTAAGAACATTTTGTACTAAATATTCATGTGTTGTCTATGAGAACTTGCACTAACATATTATATTCTCCCCTCCTTGACTAGTTTGAGCACAAATAGGCGTAATATTGCTAAACCGGTTGAATGTGACATCTGCTTGAGGCCTTGCACCTTTCTCAAGGGCTGCTTTGAGTAAACAGCCTGGAAACCAAAGGGAGAGCCTGATTCACCATTCTGCTGTGCCAGCTTTCCACCCTTGTCACTCTCCTGCTCTGAGGCTGAGACTGAAGCCCAGAGATTTTCATGTAGGGAGCAGCACTGAGATTTTTATCTTTGGATTTCAAACTATTCACCATGGAGCAAACAAGACCCAGAGTAGCCACAGCACTCTTCAGCTTGGTGGTGAGGTTGGGGTAGCATGACATGGTTTAGCCCTAACAGAGCAGGAGTTCAGAGGGCATTGGTGGAGATTTCAGAGCCAGACAGGAGCACAGGCTGTGGAGATGCAGGACAGCTTCCCAGGGATGGGCTTTTGCCACATTTTTATTTGCCACCTTCTGCAACCCCCTGCCAGGACACAT